CGTATATATTATATGATATCATAAGCACACATAACTTTGTTAAAAATAAATCTACGAATTATATAAAATGATGTCGGGGAGCGAGCGGAATATATTATGTATGTAGATATATAATTTTTATGATCTCTCTATTCCATATGTTTGGGCTGTATTTCTAATTCTGAAACTCAATTATAGATACATATAAAATTTGTATTCATCTCACATAAATAGTTTTATGTGCCTAAAAACGAATCCATCGTATTTAGCATCAAAGACTACGTTTTGCTATCTTTGTCGCCGTCGCCTTCTTTAACAATCTAACTCTCTCTCTTTGTCTATCTCTCTCTCTCTCTTTGTCTCTCTCTCTCTCTCTCTCTCTCTCTGAGTGACAAGTATCGGATATGAGTCAGAAGCCTGCAACTCCAAGTCAAGCTCACACAGCTCTATAAAAGCTCTCAGCTTCTCACTAACACTAATGCAACAGTTGATGAAAAGAATCAGAAAGTAAATAAAGATGTAGATGTATCAACCTTACGATATCATAGTGGTATGATATATTTATATGCGTACATACATAGAAATATTTACATATGTACATATGTATATATGTTTATTTGGATGTACAATAATACGTTTTAATGAATTTTTATAAAATGTAATTAATTTTAATGTAGAACTATAAAACAATTTTATATTCAGAAAATCAGGTTATAATAGAGACAGAAGCTGAGTCGATTTAGAAGGTACAAGGGCTAGAGACTTGAATTTCTTTGCTTAAGCCTGTCTATTGTATGTAGATCTAGTTTTTCTCCAAATTCGACAAATAGTCATGTTTTTGTATCATCGGTTGAAAATCGAAAATTAGCTATACAATTATATCTCCTGCATCTTTAAAGCTAAAGTGGAGAAACTTTAAATGCATCTTTAAAGCTAAAGTGGAGAATTTCGATTTTTGTTATAATTGACCGCCATCCCTATATCCTCCCTTTCACCCCTAAAATTTGGAAAAGATGTATTTCATCTTCAGCCCCTAGAAGGCTCAGACTATGCGTGTGAATGCCTGCGTGCTTATGCCTGTGTGTGTGCGTGTGTATGTGTATGTGTATGTGTTGTTTCTTGTTTAAGAAGAAAACCACGAATTATTGAAATATCAGTTGCTGGAAGGGTTCAGTGGATCTGTGAATCGAGCTGTCTCAACTGGAGCTTTCTTCTTTGTTTATATTTTGTACATATGTATATATGTATTTGAAAGTTGAACTGCTATGCTAAATGTTAGTCAAACGTGTTTAAAGTTTAGGAATTTTATGTGCATAGTCCCAAGCTCTACGAGCTAGATCTGCAACTATGAAAGGCGCCTTCAACAGTCTGACAGCATCAAATCGATTTTGTCAAGCCAATTGGAATGAAATTCACAATTGTTTTGTTGCTGTTCTTGCTTTTCGCCCTGGCACTAGCCAGAAATTTAATACACAAGGAGGGCTGTACAATATTAAGGACTTGTTCTAACAACATTCAAGATACGCCAGCAGCTGTTGAGGTATTGAATGAAAAAAAGGATATAATATAAAATCAAATTTAATGAAACAATCAATATATTTTGATTGAATATTAATAAAAAAAAAAATGTTTCTAAAATTTTCTTTATTTATTTTAATTTTTTGCGTATTAGCATTTAAAAGATGGAAAGTTCAATCATCAGCTGTGGCTTTTGGCCAGAAAAGTAGCCTGATATAAGCCAAGTCAATAGGCCTTTTGTGATTATCTGAGTTGAAGCTAAGCCTATTCTTTAGTAGAATATATTCAATATATTCTAGAAAATAAGTAATAATGGGCCCTATCGTAAATATCTAAAGTTAATTTTGATTTGAGCATCAAATGTGAATTCAGCATGTCCACAAACTATGTAAGAGTAGATTCTGATTCCTGGCTACCAAATGGTAGTCCAATACAATGGACTTTAAAATTTTAAATGCTCGTAAATAATTTCTACTCAGAGTATTCAATATATGTATTTACCAAAAAAGAATTTTTTATTTCTCTACAAAAGTCTAAATAAAGAAAGGAATATCTTGATCATACATCATCATCGTCATATGTGGCTTAAAGCTTCTGTATGTGATCTCCCCCACGTAGACTCCAATCATTCCTGATTCGTGTGCTCTTAAGTGTTGCTTCAATTCGTTTGAATGAATTTTAATTTGAATAAAATTCAACACATCAAAAGTGCATCTTTCAGAATGAAATCGGCCACCTCGAAGGTAGTGACTGCCTCGGACGTTTCGGTTGTGGTGTTGGCCATCGTGACTGGTGTCTACTGTGGCATGTTTGGCCTGCGTGCCACACAGGAGCTGAACACGCGACTCGACAAGGTAAAGCTCTGATCGAGCAATGGAATATTTGCTAAACGAGATTCCATCACAGATCGACAGCACGCTGAGTCCCTACAACAATGTCAAGAAGGATCGCTGGCGCGCCTATGCCATGGCCACTGTGTCCCTCATCGTCATCGGCATTCTGCTTGGCCTGGACGTGGGCACCTGGGTGCGCATGGCACAGGAAATGAACATTAGCGACGAGGACACAGGTGAGGTTGCATTCGCTCTGTTCCCTTCCAGTGTTTCAAGTCACATCCCATTGCCAGAGCTCAACGTGCAGTGGTATATACCCTTCTATAGTCTCTACTTTATATTGACCGGGCTGCACATCAATTTCGCGAACACGGCTTACGGGCTGGGCAGGCGCTATAAGCGGCTCAATCAAATGCTGAGAACCAGCTATCTGAGTGGTAAGTAAATAGCAGAGATATACCAAACAAAAAATACCAAATACATATTGGAAATCGTGAGAGTTACGTATTTGATATGAATATTACCTCAATGGAGAAAATAAGAAAAATATGTGAGGAAAATATAACGACAGGGAAGGAAAATGAATAAGAGAGTTGAAGATGTTAAGAGAGAGAAGAATAGAGAAATAATGATAAGGTTTGAGCCCAAAAGAAAACTAACGGAAATAAAATATATTTGAACAAAAGTGAATGTGGAACATAGAAAAGTGGAAAGCAAAGAAACGATAAGGTAAGGATAAAAAGGTGAAAAAATACAGCGTAGGAGAGATAAGCAAACGGTGGAAAGGGAACAAAAAAAATGCAACAATAAGAAAAGGAAACAAAAGAGATGAAACATGAAGAAGAGGGAACAAACGAGATGACACGCAAAAGAAATAGAAAGAGACAGAAGAATAAAATATAATGCGAAGGAAGGATCAATAAAGACGACAATATCAAAGTAATAGAAATAAAAGACTGCAGAAGCTAAGATAAGAGAGTAAGATGAAAAAGAAATGACCTGTATGCTAAACCCTAAAACCAAAAGAATTTCCTAAGAAATCGCTCAAAGTGTGGAATCAAGTCTTTTAATACTTATAATTATCCTAGGGATTTTTTTATTTACCTTGATAAGTTTTAAGATCAAACAAGAGATATATAAACTCAAATTTGAAACCTTTTATGTATAGATATACATATAAATATATATATGTAGATATAGCAATCGTAATCCACAATTTACACCTTAGCAGACAAAAGTTATGGCAATGCCACAAATCTGGTCAAGGTGAGCACTGTGAAGTCCATCAGCTTCAAGCCAATGATGCCAATGGCTCTGCATGCCAGCCTAACCAAGTTGAACACGGAGACCTTGCCTAATGAATCAGCCAGTAAGTAGCTATACATATGAGCAATAATCAGCAAACATATAGACATCATTGCCCTACAGCCAAAAACAAAAGTTTGCTTATTCGAGCCATGGCCGACAATCACGAATCGCTGGGCAAATGCGTGCGATTGCTCTCAAGGTGAACCTTTGATCCATATCGGGAAAATGTGAACTGAATCAAATTGATTAACTATAAACTATTGCAGATTCTATGGCATAGCCGTGCTGTTCATACTGGTGTCCTGTCTGCTGCACCTGGTTGCCACGGCGTACTTTCTGTTCCTGGAGATGCTCAATAAGCGGGACAACGGCTATGTCTGGGTGCAAATGCTCTGGATCATCTTTCACTTTCTGCGCCTGCTCATGGTCGTGGAGCCGTGCCATCTGGCGGCCCGCGAGGCCCGCAAGACCATTCAGATCGTATGCGAAATCGAGCGGAAGGTCTTCGAGCCCATCCTGGTCGAGGAGACCAAAAAGTTCTGGCAGCAGCTGCTCGTCGACGATGCCGAGTTCTCAGCCAGCGGACTCTGTCGGGTCAATCGAACGATTCTGACTTCGGTAAGTGCTTCAGTAGTCTTCCGAAACGATCAAGTGGAACTCTTAAACTTTCTTAACCTTAACTAATTTATATGAATTATGCATTCATATTGAAATTGGTTTCTTCTCTTGCAGTTCGCTTCGGCTATCGCTACCTATTTGGTTATACTTATCCAATTTCAAAAGACCAACGGCTGAACCTGGCTACAAATTCTTATTTTCAGTTATACAAAAGGTTGATTTTATTAACACTAAACGGAATTCTTAGCTGTGTTTAGGTGAATAAAGGAATACAAAATATTTTTGTTGCTGTGATTATTCCAAATTGAATTTAAATTGAACAAACTGAGCTACTTCAAATTAATTGTTTCGGTCTCTAATCAATTTTATGATCTCTTCTTCCCTGTCGAAAGTTATGTCCATGATCTCTTAGGCTTGCCATTCTTTGCTCTTGGGATGGGAAGCACGAAGTCTCTCCATCACTGCTAAAGACCAGACATTTTATTGAAATGCTGCAGCTCTCGAACTTAGCCCTGGGTCTAGCTACTCCTCCTATCTTTGATTCCATGCCACAAACATTTATATACAATTCATTTCCCTTGCAGTTTGTTTCGGCTATCCCTATCTATTTGTTCATACTTATCCAATTTCAAAAGAGCAACGGTTGAAGCTGGCCACGAATCTTATTTTTAGTTATACAAAAGGTTGATTTTATTAACACTAAACGGAATTCTTAGCTGTGTTTAAGTCAATAAAGGAAAACAATATTTTTGTTGTTGTGATTATTCCAAACCGATTTTCAATTGAACATTTAAGCAAACTTAGTTCCATGGCTACACTTAAACGCACATTATAATTAGATTTCATAATATTGTTTCAAACTATTTTAGTTGATTAAAAACTCGACCGTCTGCAGCTCAGAAGCCCTTCTGGTACTGCTTCGTCTCCATGCGCTGCTGAAGCAGCTCCAACTGCCGCTTGGCCTCGCATTGTGGAAAGTTTTCCAGATCGTAGTACTGTGGCGCCAGACTGAGCAGCCATTCCGCTGTAAAGCCAAAGAGAATATTTGATTGGATGTGAACTTGCTGTGGTTGTATGTGCAGGATTAACTCACGCTTCACATCTGTCACAGTGCGTATGTAGTTTTTGGTGGTCAGCACAAATTCGTTGTAGATGACCCAGTCGGGTTTGTGGTCCAGGCAAGTTGACGGATGCAGCTGCACGTTCTGGTTGTCCTTGATGGTCAGATAGTGTCCCGTTCGCTCCAGATGCGCGACCTGCATAAAGAAGCCCTGGACTAGAGCCTTGCGTATATTGACATAGTAGTCCTTCGAGGCGAACTCTGTGCTGGTGCGCTTCAAATTGAAGCGATCCATGATCCGTGCCAACTGCTGGCGCACATTGTCAGCGCTCTTGAGCGAGCGATAGTTGATGAAGTTCTCATAGCACCAGTTCGGGTCCTCACTGCCTGTAGAACGAGTCAAGTTGAAGTCTATCGGAGTCGATTGGGAGGAGCACAGTCAGGAAACTTACTCTGCTTGAAGGCGTGATAGACATTCAGCAGCGTTAGATGATCTCCGTCGATGTGAGCGAAACGCATCTTGGCCTCGTCAGCCACCTTCTTTGCCTCATTGGGTCGCACGAAACATTGTGGCACTTTGGTTGACGTTTGATGTTTGAATTGGTTTGTTTTCGATTAAGCGCAAATTCATAACATGTTTTTGTTGTTTTTGTTTGTTGTTTGTGTTTTACATAAACAAATAGATTGTGCTCACATTTTGTCAGCTAGGCAATCTAGATATTTGATTCAAGGATTGATTGCATTTGTGAGTTGCAAGTGCGTTCGAGGCCACAAAGCGGACATCGTTTAAATTCAAGCAAATAGCCGAGCAAATGCCGCCGCATCACATTTCAATCAAATGTGCGAAGCAGATGGAACGCACGTGCAACTTTTCTTCAGTGTTGAATGCAAAGAACAAATAAATTGATAAACTTTTTTCTTTGCACGTTTTGGAATAACAGTAATTTGTCAGCGTGCGTCAGAGTCCTTGTCGCCAACAATCAAATGTCATCTGCAGATGATGGCATTGCGCTCTAGCTAAATGAAACCACATAAGACTAGAGCTAACTACTTTTCAATTTGAGAGACAACCCAGTGGAAGCTTAGGTCTATTCTAAAAAGTCCCTCGACTTCTACATCTATATCTATGCAGCTTAATCAGTTTAGTTTGTTTCTCACCCGACAGCATGGCCGTAATTGAAAGTATCTCATTGGAGCAATTGTGCTGGCAGCTGGCTATCAGCATCTTAGCCAATTGCGGATCGAGCGGAAACTCGGACATAACGGCACCGAGATCCGTCAAATTGCCGTCGTCGTCGAGGGCGGCCAAATAGTTGAGCAGCTCCAAGGCGCGCATCAGAGTCTCGGGCGCCGGCGGGTCCATGAAATCAAAGTGCACCAGGTCATCAATGCCCAATTTCTTAAGCTGCAGCACCACAGTGCCTAATCGACAATGGAAATCAGATATAGATCAATGCAATTAGCGGAAATTTATGAGCAGAAATTACCCAAATTTGAGCGCAAAATCTCCGGATAAGTGTTGTCTTGCATTTCGTTCTTGAATGCCTTCTCCGTATAGAGTCTAAAGCACTTGCCTGGCCGTGTACGACCAGCACGACCGGCACGCTGCTGTGCCGAGGCCTTCGATATGGGGGAGACGAGCAAGCTCTCGACACGTATGCGCGGATTGTATACCTTTTGCTTGGCAAAGCCCGGATCGATCACAAAAACCACGCCATCAATGGTCAGCGAGGTTTCGGCAATGTTTGTGGATACGACCACCTTGCGGCCAATAGCACCTGAGGCATTTGGTGGCGGCGGCGGCTCGAAGATGCGCTGTTGTTGATTGGGCGGCAGAGTCGAGTAAAGGGGAATGCACTTCAGTTCGCCAATTTCAGAGCCCAAATTGTCAATCTCACGCTTGATACGCTTGCAAGCCTCTTCGATCTCTTCCTGTCCCGTGAGAAACATAAGTATATCGCCTATGCAGGGAAGAGTCAACGATTAGCATTCAGCAGAGTGTGCAAGGGAGAGACAGAGAGAGAACCAGTTTAGATAAGACCTCTCTGCATACCTTCAATTTCCTCGCATATATGTATTTGTATAACTGTGCGAATAGCTGCCTCCAAATAGTCTCTCTCGGGCTCCGGTGTGTAGAAAATCTCGACGGGATGCGTGCGACCGGGCACGTTCATCAGCGGCGCATTATCAAAGTATTGCTGGAATTTGCCTGCATCGAGTGTGGCCGACATGACCACCAATTTGAGATCATTGCGCTGTCGAATAACCTCTTTTAGCACACCCATCAGAATATCAGTGGCCAGGGTGCGCTCGTGCGCCTCGTCAAGCAATATGACTTGGTATTGATCCAGCATCGGATCCGACATGGCTTCGCGCAGCAGCATACCGTCCGTCATATACTTGAGCAGTGTCTTGGCCGAAGAGCAATCCTCGAATCGAATGGAGTAGCCGACCTCATCGCCAAGATTAACGTCCATTTCCTCAGAGACACGCTGGGCCACCGACATGGCGGCCACACGACGCGGCTGTGTACAGGCGACGCCTTTGCGGCCTTTGGACACAGCGAAATCCACACACCATTGCGGTATTTGTGTCGTTTTACCAGAGCCCGTCTCACCCACCAACACAATACACTGATGCTGACTAAGCAAGCGCATGAAGTCCGCCTGATACTCGAATACTGGCAATGTGATTCGCTTCTTGTACAAGTTTTGGTAGCGTGCGGAGTAAGGCTTCAATGTGAACGGATTTGTAATAGGTGGCTAACAAATGTAGATCAAGTGATATTAGAAATCCCGCTGTTACTGGCATCACAAGTACTTACTTGTTTACTGGGCACAAATCCACCCGTGACTTGGGCAACAGTGCCGGTGGATGACGCCGCTGCTGAAGAAGTTGAAGCTTCCGACTCCCTGCAAATGGCACAACAATGTAAGCATTGGCTCAGCATATGTTCTCACATATACTTACTTCTTCATCTTGTTGGAGTATGTCTCGCCCACTTCAATACGTCGTTTCGACATCTTTGCGTGTTTTTAAAATACACAATAAATAGCAAAAACGTTCTGCACAAAAAAAAAAAACACGCGCTGAATAGCAACGTGAAAAGCGATAAATAGTACGAGGGCTGACAGAAAGTATCAGTAGGTCAGCAAAACACTATCGATATTGGACGATAGTTAAAATAATAAGTGATAAGTTCAATACGATTTGTTGTTGTTATTTTATTATTATATTTCTAAAAGTTGCCTGCTGCCTCTATTGTAAGTTTATTGTTATTATTATTATTATTATTATTTTTTTTTTGCATTAACGTTATTACGAAGTCTTTAATAATATTACTAGAATTATTTTAGCCTATGCGAAAATGTTGGTATCTGTTATATTGGTATCTTTATTGAATTTAAATAACATACCATAAAGATTGTTATCGATATGCTGTCTGTGTCTCGCATCGATAGTTGTTGTCAGTGCGCAGCAATATCGATTCAACAGTATTTGCAATAATTTTTAAGATGCGCGAGTTGTATACAAAAATGCAAAAATCAAAGTGAAAAACTGTTGCCAAAGCGACAACAAACAATGGAAATACCGATACAAGTGGCTGTACGCATATATCCCCACGCAGAACTTGAACACAAGCCGGAGTATATAGCGCCGGAGGATGGCGATGCAGAAGCAGACAAACCGCAATCAAAGCCGTCTTCCCCAAACCTGAACCCGCCTCTTCCTCCACTTCCGTCACCATCGCAATTGACATTACAAACAACGGCAATAGACGCTAATGGCAATAATGAGTTAGACGCCAGTCAGTTGAATACAAATGAAGTGCCATCAGATATTTGCAATGCCAGTGGCTGCTGCGTGCAGGCCATACCAATCGCTGTATCGGCGCTGGGGTTGCCGAGCGCACTGCCCGGTGGTGCGGCCCTTGACAGCATTGCGGCGGGTCTGATACAGGTGGGTGCTCACACTGTGCCTGTGACACATGCGCTGCCCAGCAGCACCACACAGAGTCAGGTGTACCACCAGACAGTGTTTCCACTGATTAGCTTGTTTCTGGAGGGCTTCGATGCATCAGTGGTGACATATGGGCAACGCAATACTGGAAAAACCTACACGCTCTATGGACATGGCTTCGAGTGTGTCTATGGCGAGGCGGATCAGGGCGTGGTACAGCGTTGCGTACGGGAGATTTTTACCCACATTGCGGCGCACGCAGGTGAGTTGCTAGACAAATCGATATGATGGACGTTTTATTTAATGACTGCATTTTTGTAGATCGAACATACGCCGTTAATGTTGGCTTTGTGGAGATATGCAATGGTGAAATCCGCGACTTGCTGGGCATGGGCAATGTGCACTGCACCACGGTGGAGGATGTTTTCCATTGGCTGCAGTTGGGTCTCAGCAATAAGCAGCAGTCACCCGCACACACACTCTTCACACTGACCCTGGAGCAGCAGTGGGTGTCCAAGGAGGGTCTGATTCAGCACCGTCTCTCAACGGCTAGCTTCTCAGATCTGTGCGCCACCGAACGTTGGGGTGAGCCGCCACCAGGACATCCACGTGACGCCGGATTGCAGATGCTGGAACAGGTGGTCAACACTCTGACTGATCCGAGCATTATGTATGGTGTCAATGGCAATATTCCCTACGGTCAAACCACTTTAACCACTCTGCTGAAAGACTCGTTCGGTGGTCGTGCTCAGACCTTAGTCATTCTGTGTGTCTCCCCGCTGGAGCAGCATCTCAGCGAGACACTGGGCAATCTGCAGTTCGGCTTCAAGGTGCAATGCGTACGCAACTATGTCATTATGAATACTTTCTCCGATGACAATACTCCTATATCGCCGGAGGTATTGCCGCATGATCCAGCAGCAGCTGGCACAGCGGCTCTCATGGCGGCCGTGGCCATGCCCAACGGGGACAACTTCGGACTTCAATTTGCAGCCAGTCAGTGGTTCAAACTGGTGTCCAATGCAGAGGGACTCTTCGCCAAGTAAGTGAACTGAACGAATATCCTTCCTGGAAGTGTTATTTATAATTTTCATGCACAGATTAATGAGCTCGAATGCAATAACGGAGCTGGAGAAGGAGCAAATTGAGGAGTGGCTGTTCTTAAAGCAAGAGTGCGAAGAATGTCTCAGCTCCAGCGAAGCATTGCGCAACCAAAAGCCGTTAGTGCCCATCCAGGAGGCGGAGGAGCCAGAGGAGTCTATCAGTGAGCCGGAAACCTCCTGCCAGCAAAATTCGGATAATGACACCGACAATGAGTCGCAGCGCCCAGATCTAGCTGAGAAGCTCGAAAGCCTCATGGATGAATTTCGCACCAAAACGGATGCGCTCATTCAAGCCAAGCATGAGGAATTTATGCTCAAGCAGCCCAAAGCGGTCATGCAGAGCCAGGACAAAGATCGGGAGCAGACAGCCCAAGAGCCAGCGCCACAGCCTGAAAAGTGCGATGAGCGAAAGTTTAGCGTGGGAGGTAAGTATATTATATACAGCTATATATATGCATGACTCTCATTCTCTCTCTCTCTCTCTCGTTCAATGGCTTTCAGGTCGTCGGCGCAGCATACAGCCCGGTGCCAGTTTGAGTAGCGCAGAGCTGGCCATGCTCAATCGTGTTGCCTCGCAGCAGACGACGGGCACTGAATTGCCAGCGGACTTCGATCCACTCAACAATGCAGCAGGCGCGAGCGACGGACTGCGTAATGCGACTGGCGTGGCTGGCGCCAACGGTCCCGTCGAGCAACTGCAGAAGAAGATGCGAAAGCTGAATGCCGAGATCGAGGCTCGACAGCGACAGCTGAAGGAAATCGAGCAAACGATGCAGCTCAAGCAGAACATAATTAGTGAGCTGGTGAAGAACCGAGAGACGCGCAGCCATGCCAAGCAGCGCTTTCACAAGAAGAAGGCCAAGCTGGATGCGGAGTGTGATAAGGCTAAGAAGCATCTGGCCAAAGCACTGGTGCAGGGCAAGGATAAAGCGGAAATAGAACGGTGGGACGCTATTATAGCGCACATTGAGCAGCGCCTGCAGGATCTCAGCTCGATGAAGCACATTGCCGGCGAGAGTGGTCAGAAGCTAAAGAAACTGCAACAGTCCGTTGCCGAGTCACGCAAACAAATCGAGGAGGTGCAAAAGAAGCTGAAGAAGGAGTGCAAGCTGCGTGATCAGCTGGAGGCCGAGCTCAAGAGCTTGAAGGAGGCGACACTAGTCAAAATGGAACCAAATCCAGATCAGCTCAAAGCGGTGCAGGCTCGCATTACTCACTTGGATCACATACTGCGCGAGAAGTCGGAGAATCTGGAGCACTGGGATGGCGGCGAAAAGTCCCCCGCACAACAGGAGAGTCTGCGCCACGAGATACGCAATCTGAGGCGAACGCGTGACCATTTGCTGGAGCAACGCTGCATGCTGGATCGCAAGCTCAAGCGGGACAAAATGTTGACGCAGCGCGAAGAGCGAAAGCTGCTCGAGTGCGACGAGGCCATCATGGCCATTGACGAGGCCATCGAGTTCAAGAACGAGCTCATTTGCGGTCAAAAGTCCATCGACTTGTCCACCGAGCGCCAGCAGCGGGAGAAGGGCGAGCAGATGCTGATGGCGCGACTCAACAAGCTCTCACCCGAGGAGATGCGCACGCTGCTCTACAAGTACTTCGTCAAGGTCATTGATTTGAGAGACTCGTCGCGAAAGCTTGAGCAGCAGCTGGTGCAGCTGGAGCGCGAGCGTGATGCCTGGGAGTGGAAGGAGCGCGTGCTCTCCAATGCGGTGCGCCAGGCACGGCTGGAGGGCGAGCGTAATGCGGTGCTGCTGCAGCGTCAGCACGAGACAAAGCTGACGCTAATGCTGCGTCATCTGGCGGCAGAGACCTCGGCCAGCTCGGCCAGCTATGGCGATCGTGCTCTAGCGCCTGCCACCAGCCAGGGCACGAGCAGTGAGTTTGACTACGATCTCGACTTCTACAAGGCGGCCAGCAATAAGGCAATGCTCAAGGCGCAACAGGCGAAACCCACAGCGGCTGGCCTGGACAAGTACAAGGACAAGGAGCGTAGCAGCGGACGCAATATCTTTGCCAAGTTCCAGGTGCTCACGCGTTATGCATCGGCGGCGGCTGCTGCAGCTGGCTCATCTTCGACGGCGGACGAGTCCACGGCGCTCATTGAGACGACAACCACGGCGGCAACCACTACCACCACCACGACCACAACGGCAACCACAAGCGCATCGGCCAAGGGCAAGGAGAAGGCACTGGCCACCATCAACCAGGATCAGCTGAAACGTCTGATGCCCGCGCCGACATCCACAAAGGTGACGCGTCAGAAAAACAAGATCATCATACAAGATGCGACGCGCAAAAACTGAAAGAAAAACAAAAACGTCGACGAATTTAGTTCTCTCTTTTCTCTGGAGCGTGAGAGAAGCACGCAATACAGGCGAAAGTCAGCTGAGAGAACAGATGCAATGACTGGCGTCGGGAGGCACCTCTCTATCTCCCACTGCTCTTATTCTCAAATACTCAACATGTACAATTATAATTTATAATGACAAGCTCAACCCGATATGGATAGATATATATATGTACTGAACGAATACGTCCACAGACTTGTTTCAATAGACTTACCAAGGTATTCATCTACATCTAACTTCTGGCGTATTTAAATGTCTACAACAACCATAAAGATTCCTCGACTGGCAAATCTAAAGACTTGACAATTGTTACTTAAAAATACTCGAAACTCAGCAATCCCAAATGGAAATCGCAATTAACTCGCTCAAATTGTTTACTTAAGCACTCGAATCTCTTGTTTTATGTACATATGAATATGAATATGTATTAATTTTAGTTATACAATTTGCATTTAAGTTAACCTTATAAGTCGCAATTACACTATTTTTGTTTTAAGTTTACTCATTTTGTTTAGCATATTTAAATGTCTTCCCCAAATTTGATTACCCCTAGACCTAGATATATAGAACTTTTGGTATTCCTTATCAGCGCATTTACTCAGTTTCTATTTAAGATTACTACCTTTATGTTATAAATATATACTATATATTAAAGTCAGTGTTTCTCTAAATTACTCCTACTACAAATGTTACAAGAATTTAGGTTGTGTTTAATTTTGTTCAAATTTACAATGCAAGAATTATAAGATGCTTGCATATGCATATGCTCAAATTCATATTCCGAATAAAAATATTTTAACAAAAAAAAAATATATATATCTTTTGTAAAGCAATTCATCTGCTCTATATTTCCGCTAATTTTTCTCACAATTCAGTAATTAGTCAGCATCAAAGTAAATAAACACAGCACAGCTTGTGTTCACATGTGCTGCTGACTAAGAATATATAAGAATAGATGCCACTTTTTATACGCCCGCTTCAGCACATTCACTCTAAAATGTTATAGTATTATATTTTACTTTATTCCTAACAATAGCAAACCTGTAGTAGCTCATTTCCCCGCTGCCTTCACTCACAACAAAATATCAACAGGTGTCCCCTGAAAATATCCCAGAGAATTTCCCAAACAAATGCCCCTTCACACACACACTGACAGCGAGCGGCAAGAGAGTGCCAAACCAAAATGGCCGGTCGGTCCAGAGCAACTGTCAGACAGAGAGGCAATTCAGTCTGGTTTGGATTGTCGAACGTTAACCGTCGAACGTATTGGAGTCGGAATTTACGTCTGCGTTATCAGAGTGCGCCTGTGTGTGTGCATTGTTTAGGCTACGGTTACGGTACGGTCGGTACTCGCACCCCCGCAAACCGGTTCGCCTGGTGGTGGTTCTAACGTTTTACGCGCTTCGGCTGTGTGCGAGCGTGAATTGTGAATACGCCAAATTCAAGTTAAAATAAAATGCAAAAGCAATAAATAATTACAGCCAGCCGAGTGTCAAAAGCAGAGCACAGCGCCAAAAAAAAAAAAAAACGGCCAGCGTGCGTGTGTGTGTTTCGAGTGCGAGTGTGTTTGTTGTGCAGCAGTTATTGTGCAGAGTCGTCACCCCAGTGGATTAGTGGCACCCTGTTACAATTTGCTCACACTGCCACTCAGTGAGTGTTAGTGAGTGTTTTTGTGCACATTCCACCTTAACTAACATCAGCAGTCAGCGCAATTCATCAATTCATCAGTTCGGTAGGTGACAACAAACAGTTCAATGTATTTTTCGCAACTGTCTGGCAACATCTTCTTTTGTCTGCTGTTGTTGCTGTAATTCTTATCCACGCCCACACATGCACTGCGATGCCAACACCCACAACACCCAGGGAGCCCCAAGCTGCAGTCGGTGATGATATGATAATCTGTGCATCATTTGTGCCAGATGAGTTTGTTGGTTTTGGCTCAGCTTCCTATTGATTTTTCGCCAAAAAACTAAAGTTTTCGCTTTAGCGAATCAACTTTGTTAACTTCACATACACACACGCACACACACACACACACACAAAAGGGTGTGTGCGGGCATAGCGCCGCTGCCTAGAATTTGCCGTGCGCTTTTTACAGTCGCTGTCAAAGGCCTTTAAACTGCTGAAAGTTTGAAAGCATTGTTGGATATATAAAATTTCATGTTTTCTGTTAAATTCTAGAATAATTCTAGCATTTGTTTCGAAGATTTTCATTTAGAATTTGCGATTTTTCCAATTCCTTTTGTGCATTGCTTGGTGAATTTTTTTAGCGCATGCGCTCTACGCCTCACACAGTTGCGAAAGCAACTCTGATTTGTGTGCATGTGTGTGTGTGTGTGTGCAACCAGCCTAAGCTGCCTTTGTCTGTGTCAGGTAGTTTTTCCATAGCCAGGCAGCAGGCTTAGGCTCCATGGGCTCAGTATACTTTGTCTTGAAGCATCTTTTAAAATCCTCTGAAATTTCCATGTGGCACACATACGCAGGCCTCATTGTGCACATGTGTGCGAGTGTGCGTGTGCGTGCGTATGAGTGTGCGTTTGTGTGAGAGCAACCCCTGCTAAATAACGCACTCATCCCAAGTCCCGGCAGAAACCCGTGCAGCTGCCGTAGTTTCCTTTATTTGATTTTGCAAGTGTTGCGCGCTGTTGTTGCCTCTGCCTTTGCCTTTGCCTTGGTCCCACGTCTCAACTGTCTGTCTGCAGGTCCTTTCTCTTTTTCAGTCCTGTGCATTTGTCCTGTTGCTAGGCGGAGTTTTTTTTTTCGGCTCTGCAGACATGCCCTTTGATTTAAAGACGTATCGATTTTTAAGCATCTTCAACTTGTTGGCGAACTCAAGCCCAGGCTAGGGTGAACCAAAACATATATCTGGCTCACTCTTAAGCCTGCACCAGTCCAAGCATATAGCAAACATTGATTGTGGCTAAAATGAGCAATGCGCTAAGCAAATAATTGAACAAAAGTTTCCTGGTTGCTGCAGTCGGACACGGACAAAGTGCACTTGAATCTCAATTAGGCGCCGCAAGCAGCGTCCAATGGGTCACTGAACATGCAGCATGCAGCAGCTGGACAATGGACGCTACTTTCCGGTTTTTTTTTTCAGTTTGCTTGGTTTTCTTTTTTTTGGCTGCCGATGACGAACGCTGCGAATTGACCCTGCATTGGGCCAGTGCACTTTGCGAAGCAGCCATTCGTCCCCTCTTGAATTTGATGTACAAAAATGGAAAACATTGCAAAAATTTATTGGGCCGACACCCTAATGCAGCCAGACAGACATTTCCTTTTGTTGCTCTTGTTTTGTTTTATGTTTTTTAGTTGCCAACCGAACGGAAATCGAGCAACAAGAATGAGTAATAAAATTTGTGATTCGTTGATTTTACCACGCGATTGAGCGGCACAGCCGGATCTGATCACACTTAATTGAGGTCCTCAATTTCTTTGTTCAATTGACAGCATACTTTATTATTATTATTATTATTATTTTTTAGCTGACTAAAGTTCTTGAATTTTTGGTATATCAAATTAAAAGTTGTTGAGAGTCTTTTTTTCTTATATCAAACTTGTGATATATTCCGATTTATGCTATGACTAATACTGTAGATCACTATGAATATGTTATTTATTCGTTTAGAATTTTCAGTCCTTGAATTCTGATGTCTAGGAATATTTATTTTTATGTTGATCTTTCAGAAGCTGTTATTTTGAATAATTCATTTTTATTTTTATTTTTTATTATTCATTTTTATGCTATGATATATACATATGTATGTTCATATATACATAGTTTTTTGTGGAGCCATAAACGTATTAACATCTTTCTCATAAATATATGTATCTCTCCTTCACTCACGCTCTCTCTTTCTCTCTCTCTCTCCCTCTCTCTCTCTCTCTGTCTTTAACTCTTTCTATCTATGATGTAATTTATTGCTATATATGCCTTTAATTTCCATGTTTATGCTATAAATATGCTATTAAGGCCATATACAATTTGCAAATTATTTATAAAATTTTGAGTTTAATAGAGAAAGAAGAAGATATAGTTGAGTTATATATGGGATCGCAAATGCTTATGGCTGGGGTGTTGACCGATTACCAGATGTTTTTCAAATTGAGGCGCGCAATTTGCGGCATATGTTTAATTATTGTAATTCGCAGCAGAATCTTGTAGAAGGAAATTGTGAGGAATAGAGGCTGCTTTACATATATATATATACATATATATGTATATATATAAATACAACATACAGAAACTGCGTAGCAATATCATTAATTCAAAACTCTAATCAGATGAACAATTGTGAGCTGTGAAATTATATGAAATAGTTGTTTACTTTTACTCTGTTCCACCCCAAAGTCGAGTGCGCAGCTGCGCAACTGCGTCGTAAGCCAAGAGGAAAACTTGTCAAAGGGATTTGCGTTTACCCTCGGGTAAAGTTCATTAAACCTATTTGAAAGCTAACATTTGACAGGGTGTCTCTGTCTGGCCGATCCTCCCTTTATGGCTGGCCACGTGCCGACTTTGGCTGCTGCTGCGCATGCGTCGCTCAACCCCTCCTCAAATAGTAAAATTCATTAGATAGCCATAAAAAAACAGAAAACACTGCTAAGAAAAATCATAAAGAGCTTGGAGCATTTGTTGTCAGGGCACACTGCACTCAAGTTTTAATTAAGTGCTAAAAAGCAAACAAATTGTCTATGAAATTCGTTTATATATATGTAAACTTCTACTAGAAGCCAAAGACACATGCCCAGATGGACAGACAGACAGACGGGCGGACGGGGAGTGACTGAGGGTCAGGCGGATGGACAGACTCCATGTGGATATCCATGTCCATGAGCCGTATCTATGGCAAGTTCATAAGCGACATATGTCACAGCCAGACAGACCAAAGAAATTGATAGATATACACATACATATGTACATACATCTACGTATTTATATAGATATATTTATGTATGTGTGAAATCGTGACTTCCTGCTAGTCTTAGTTTTTTTTCTTCATTTTTAAAGCACGCCAATGTTTGGCTGTGTGGGGGAGGAACGTTTACTACTTTATGGTTGACAGCAGGCACAAGACGACATCGAAGTGGATTGTCTATTGCCCCATTGCTGCCCATTTGCCCATTTGAGGTTTAATTAATGACATCCACATCGACAGTAGTTGCCCTCCACTCTAACACTGGGCATTCCAGTTCTCAAATGAAATGTGTAACGAGCTATAAAAGAACCAATTGAAAACCCCAATTTATGGTTTTGTTTTTAATAAACGCATATATTTAATAAAAATGGAATATAGACTGTAAAGTATAGGTGTTTTGTCAATAGATTTCTAATCGAAAAACTAGTTTTCTTAAGCACTACTTAAGTTAAGCTCCAAGTGTCAATGTGTAATAATAAAATAAAATAAAAAGCCTGTTTAAATAATATAATAAACAAAAAAAAAAAAAAAAAAATAAATAAATAAATAAATTTAAAAAAAAGTGTCAATGTGGCCAAAAAGTAGGCTTTAATTAATCTATACAACTCAATACAAATCCTTAAGTATAAAATTATAATTCATGTTTATATTTTTTATCATATACTTTACTGTCTGTCTTTTATAAATGTTTTCTATTATATATACTTATATAATTTAAAACTAATAATACTTAAGTCTTAACAGATTTATATACT